ATTATTCATTCTAATAGAATTGTAAATGATTTTTCCATCGTAATTGAAAAAATTTTTTGATAATTTTTATTGTGATATTAAAATAAACATATGTGATATTAAAATAAACATTTCAATTTTTAATAAAAATATTTTCTTCGTTAATTTTTACTTATTTTTAATTTTTTATAAAACTATAAATTCATTATTCATATTCTTTAATAGAATCGTAAATGGTTTTTCCATTGTAACTAAAAAAATTTGTTTGGTAATTTTTATCGTGATAAGCATTTCAATTTGTAATAAAAAATTTTTTTTCGTTATTTCTACTTATTTTTAATTTTTTATAAATATATAAATTTATTATTCAATCTAATAGAATCGTATATGATTTTTCCATCGTAACTGAAAAAAATTTTTTAGTAATTTTTATCGTAATGTTAAAATTAGCATTTCAATTTTTAATAAAAAAATATTTTCTTCATTAATTTCTACTTATTTTTAATTTTTTATAAATCTATAAATTTATTATTCAATCTAATAGAATCATAAATGATTTATTCGTAGTACAAGTTATTCCTGATTTTTTTTTTTTTTGGTTTGACAAGAATTTTTATCGTAAGCGAGAAGATACGTGATTAAATTTGAATATCGACGAACTTAACGATGCCGTATAAAAAGGGAGAAAGATATAAGATACCTAGATTTGATATTTTACATAGGTTTTTAGTACGTGGGTACAAGTGTTCATTGGTGTTTTTTTTTTAGTGTTATATGGCGATCCAGGGGGTTGTAGAAGTAATTCACCTGTGACAGGTGACGCCTTAAATGACGATTGAAATTCTGTAAACGCCTCGTGTAGCTTCCTAAGAGTGTAAATTACAAACGTCTTTGGAACAACGAGTTCCACCTATTAATGGATGTCACGCGCAACTTTCGAGATTCTGAAAAAATGCAGTCAAGCCGCTAATAGCTGCCATGTTTAGTTATTTCTATTCCTTTCGTTTAGCAGAAAACTCGCCAAGCTTCTATAAATTTATATAAATAGCAACTAGCAAAAACTTATGGATGATTTTCTTGGAAAAGGATGAATCGTATGCGAATCTTTCGAAACAATATAATTTAAATGCTTGAAAAATTTATTTCGATATTCTAAAATATTTCTCATTGAGAATGTGAATTTTTTTTTCTAAGACAATTTTTTTTTCTAACAAATAACGTATACGAAATAAAAAACGAAACAACAGTCTGGTTTCTGATAAACTCCTACGCGATAGTTAAATCACCCATGACGAGTTATCTTTTACGCAAGTTTCGTCTTTGGACTTAAAGAAGATTCGATATTTTATTTATATGCCTGTATTAACAAATCGGAAATAAAATTACAAAAGAACAAGGATCGCTTCCTACGTAATCACACGAAATCACACGGACGTATGGGCGGCGATTACATACGTACGTAAGGAGGAAAAAAAGATTTCACGTTGATTTCCTTCGAAGAGAAACGATAAACTCGTGTAGGAGTAAAGGCATAAATTTAATATTCATAATTCCGTTATATAAAAATGTTCGTACTCGCGGAAGAATTAGGACTATTTCTCAGATCCATAAAAAAAAAAAAAAAAACCATTTCTAATGCTCCAGATACAATCTAGATCTAGACAAATGTATTTTCATCGAAGATGAGATACGAACGAAAGTTATATTTTTCCTTTCATTCCGGAAGAGAAGCGGCCAATTCTATTTCCTTCTTGCCGGTCATAATCATTTTTACTGATTTCTCTCGCCACGTAATATGAATATTCTTCTCTCGTCCAAGATCTTATGGATTCCTTGAGGGATTATCTTTAAATAGAAAATATTTTATACGTTTTTTTTTTTTTTCTGTGAACGTTATTTCGATCGTTCACAATGGCAGGACGAAAAGAAACGACACGAACGAAATCGATGAGCGTTAGAATAGGGTGCTAGGCGAGTGGAGAATCGTAAGAAAAGGAAGCGTATCATTACACCTGAGCGGAATATCCTTAGCAAAGGGAGTTTCTATAGGGTGGCCTAGTAATTCGATGCTTGTACACACAATACAGGTACTATTGTTGGAAATACATCGAAATTTTGAAAATGATACTTTTCACTCGCCAAATTTAAAAATTATGTCCTCCTTGCATCAGAATTTTTTGATAGAAACTTTTCTCTTACTCTTATCTTAACTTTTCCCTGCTCTTATATATTTATTGCCGTTCTTTGTTATTATTCGAGGCCTTAAGAAGGTGCTGTTATATACAGCGTTCCGATTTCAATGTCGGCACGATCAAATGAATTTTATAAGGGGCCCTTGGACCCTTAAGTAAGTAGTAAGAAGGAGTAAACACGGTGCAACGCGAAAGTCGGTGTCGTTTCAGAGACGCGTGATATCGCGATTCCCTGGTGCAACACTCTTCCCTTTTGTCGCGAACAACGAGCCTCCTGTGAGAAGCATTTCCCTCCACGGTCTGGCTTCGTTCCACGACGATCTCAAGGAGAAAATTCAATTAGCCTCGGCAACTAGATCGTACTCGTCGCAGCTGCAATCGGCAGATAAGTCTGAAACATGTATGTCATGCGAAAAAGAGCACTCGAGTGTGACTTTCGATTCGCTCGTTCGTCATGGAGCCACCTCGGCGTGCCGCGCCGTAACTCAGATCTCCTTCCATTCCATCAAACGTTCCACATTTTAACTAATGAAAGCGTCGTGACTAACCTAGAAAGTACTTAAATTCCAAAAGTACAATGTGGAGGATTGTGGAGCCCCGGAATCGTAAAAATCTCTTTCATATCTGAAAAGTCCTACCACTTGAAGCGATAAAAATATCTCTCTTACAAAGGACTTTTTGATGAAAGAAAACTGTTACAAGATTGGATAATAAGATAATAAAATTCCTGGAATAAATTTTTGGTTACAGATTATATAATAATTTCGATATAGAAAAATTGGATAATATTTAATTCTAAGATCCGTCTTTTCTCAATTTTTTGAAAACTTTTCTCATTAAAGAACAATCTTCAATCTTCTTGAATCCTATATTCCAAATATTAAAGACTCGATCATATTTTAAAATTATATTCTACGAAAGATTTATTATATTAAATCATACCATTATTGTTACAGAATCACAGAGATCCTGAACGATTAAAAATATTTTCAGCAATTCGTAGAGGCGAAGCAGGCTTGACAGACAGGAAAGGCGAAGGCAGAGAGCATATCGGAACCACGGTGGTCAGCCACTTTATCCTCGTGCAAGCGCATCCAGCACCACTATACACGCCGCTATGGGAGTTTGGCAGCGGCGG